CCTTGCGTACTCCTCCTCACTGAGATATATCCACAGTTGGTATCTAAAATATTTGTTCCAGCTATGCCGTGCCAAGATGTCCTGCCATGTGCTTCCTTATGTCGCAATGTGGTTTATACCTTTTCCCATAATGGTCGCAAACACAAATAATTTATGCAAAACAAAAGGTTTTTATATTTTTAAAATATCAATTTGTTTCTAATTTCAGCGACTCGATTTAACGAGGAATTATTTCAACAGAACCTATTTTTTCTTATTCTTAGGCCGATAACTGATTCTCAAAGAAGACATATTTACGAAATTGTTATGGTAAAATATGTCACAACTTTAGTTATTTAAATATTAGCATCGTTTTTATTTGTTTGGGTCGTCAGACCAAACAAATAATGGTAGCGAAATTTCAGACCCTGATGCTGTTAATTGCAAATGCCGAAAGTGTCAGACCAAACAAATAATAGTAGCGAAATTTCAGACCCTGATGCTGTTAAATGCAAATGCCGAAAGTAGTCCGCTTTTTTGAAGCGGTTACTTCCCTTTATATGTACACTAACGCCGAAAAATTCAGGGGAGATCGCTGCGTAAAGATTGTCAAATGACAGGCGCATTAATTTTCAAGCATAATGGTTCCCGAATGGTGGAAGATTTCTAATAATGTTTTATTCTTTATAGATATACATGCTTATAGTACTAGTAAGCTCCATGATTATTTACATCTGTGTTAAACAACAGGTTTAGCCTCAAAATAATAAGTGTTACAAACCCTAATTTAAAATAATACGGTTTTCTTCATGCCATTAGCATATAACTTCACCGTGGCCGAGGGGTTTGCACGCTCGCTTAGGAATCGAGAGGTCTGGAGTTCAAATCCCAGTTGAGGCAACTCATTTTTTTTAATTGCTTAAGTCAAATAAACGTTGAATTGAAAATCAGTGTTGCAATTAGTCTTATAGCAAAATTTCTACAGTTAAAACACTGGAAAGCATTGGTGGCACTTTACAAAAAGAAATTGGTTTATAATCTCATAACCTTCACCTTTCTGACATTCTGAGACCCAAACAAATTCAGCGCCTTCTGTGCTTTGATTTAAAAATGCTGTTTATTTTTATTCTAACTGATTATATGAATATATGAACTTGAATATAAAGATGCATTAAAAATATCTTAACAAAGCAATGTGCTTTCAAAATCTGTATATATTTACTTATTATTTATTATTTAGGTCCGAGTGGTAGCATCTCTGAAATCGAGTCCGAAGAAATAAGAAAAACTGACTTCTGAATAGAAATATTTGAAATCAATGTAAAAAATATGAAAACATGACTCGGTTTATGCTCCGGTATGTTAAATATAATATTCAAGAAGGTTCTTATAATTTGCGGCCTTGTGGGGAAAGACCAAGTGGGAGCATGCAGAGAAAAAAAACACTTATCCCGTTTTCAGGCCTAAACCAAGCAATAAATCGATAAAAAATCACCATTCTTTGGAGCGCCACAATATTTTTTTTGATTATCTTGCTATTTCTTATAATAAAATTGTATTTTACCTTTGAGTCGATTCCCGGGCTGGCTACTTAAATTACGAATCAGTCTTTCGGATGAGACTTTAAATCGAGATCCCGTGTATGGGTGCTTAAACACTTGGCACGCTAAAGAACCAGGAGAAGCTTATGGAATCGGGGCGTCTTTCTGTATCTGTAATGCACTATCCTCCAAAATCTAAAATGACTTATACTCTTCTACATATGAGCAACCGGTGGCGAGTATAAATATACGCTAGTACACATACAAAATGATGATGTTTTAGACCCGTTTTTGTGAATACAGAACAGAAGAAAGGAGAACTTAACATAATTTTATCGTTAATCAAATTAGATTAAAACGTAGCTGCATGTAGTATTCATATTTGTATATATTGGATGTGTATTGGATTATTTTTCATTATTTCTATGCTATAAACATTTGTATTGTCATTGTTACTGTGATATATTTTCTTTTAATTTTAATACATGTATATACACACTTTGATTTTACTAATATAAGTCAGGAGTTTTAGTGAAAGTTAATTTAGCAACTATATTCAAATATTTATTTTAGATATATTCAATTTTATGTCAATTGTATAGCATATTAATTTATTTTTAGAAAGATAATTAACAAAAAAAAAATCTAAATAGGGATATGAAGATAAATTTGAATTAGACATAACCATGTATTACATACTTATACAGTAGCTTTCCCAAAATTATGCATATGCCAGTATCGATAAGATCATCAAAACCACTTTTAGTTTATTTTTCTTAGTTTGTATGTCAAATTAAATATGTTAATATTAAATATCAAAACAGGACTCACATAACTTATTCAATCTTGCATTAAATAGGTGGCGCGATAACTCAGTTGGTTAGACCACTGACTGTCACTCCTGAGGTTCCGGGTTCGATCCTTGGTAACACCCTTGGGATTTTTCAGAGACACTTTTAGTGTTTCCCACCTACCTAGAGGTTTACTGGTAAGAAACTCAGGTAATATCTTCGCATGTATCAGTGCTATACACTGGGCCACAGACGCCTGGGGATCAGATCCTGCCCATCAAGGCACTTTATTGAGACTTGATGGTATACGGTATTTTTTCATATATGTAAAAATTGTTTGAAAACCATTTTTATCGTTGTGATAGATGTCCCATTCGTGTTTAAATATTAAAATAGTTTTGGTAAAGTGTTTACAGGGGCGTATCACGTTGGGGGGCAGGATCTGACCCCCAAGCGTCTGTGCACTGGGCATGTAAAAGAACCAAGGGATCTATTCAATAAGAGCTATAGGGGCTAGTTCCCGGACTCCCTTGTATCTCAGAGCCGTCTCTAGAGTATGCTGAGGTAAGGACCCTACTGGAAATAAGTGCTTGCACTTTCGTAGGTTATCCTTGACCACCCGGTCTAAAGAAAATCAAACACATATGTCACATTTATTTTTGTACAAAATTGATTAAAACATGTAGTCTATAACATGAAACAATATATGATACCAAATAACTAATAAAAATACTTATTCACAAATATTTTTAATATTATCAACACCTTAATTCTCGAGTAATGAATTAATAAACACCTCAATTATCTCTGAAAGCAAACAAAATGCACATGTGTATTGAACTCCTTTCTTCATTAATTATACAAAAGTATGAAATTTAGCAATTAATATTCATTTATCATTTTTCTTATAAATCTTATTATTATTTATTAAAAAAATATATATAAAAAAAATAACAACAATAAAAATTAATATATCTTATGATTTTCCTCATCAAGTACATTTTTCATTAATTATTTTCAATGACTTTAAATAACACATTAAAAAGGTATACGTTAGATCTATTAAAAACTCAGAATAATATTATGTGAGGAAAACATATTTTTTGTCTCATATCTATATCAATTGATCATTTTTAAACTTACCCATGTATAAAACATCTAAATACTTTAATATTTTTTTTCTAATTAAAGTTACATTAAATAAATATGTAAAAATATTTTGCCGTCGGCCCTAAAAAACAAGCATTATACAGTTTCATAAACCTTTTTAACAGTTATGTTGTAAATCTCATCAAATATTGTTCATAAATTAGGATATTAAACGGAAAACCCCACGGTAACACTAAAGTTCGTATACGAATTTTTACATGCAAATGAAGACAATAATCAGCTCGTGTATGCGCTACGTCACATTGTTATAGTTGCTATCCGGAACACAGTAAATATGAGATTTTCTTGTGCAAACACACTTTAACCGTTTTAGCTTCACGGTGTACTAGGCCTGTGGTTCAGAAAAAAGTAATCATCTCATAAAAAGGATTAAATTTGTATGAAAACATCCGTTACAATGCGGAAATATACCGTTAGATTAGAACTGCTGCACATAGTCATGTTTGTTGATTTAATATTGATGTACGGATGAACCGAGGGCGGAGTTTCTCATGCAAACAGAAATAATTATTATTGTACTTCCGATTTCGCCACAATGAGGTTGCCCATTTTTTATGCTTATAAAACTTATTTTGGTTGTCTTGACACCAAAATAAAATCTGGAGTCGATATGAAACCCAATTTATTAATAAAATGTCGCCATTTCTGTTTTTATGAAATTTATTTAATGTATCAGTTAAGAATAAACTTACCTCTTTATTCACTTTAATAAAATGTTGTTTTTTGTGTGGCATGTTTTTTTGTCTTGTTTGTTTGTTTAATTCATTTTACGCCTTTTCCGAACAGTATTTCAGTCATATAGGCGGGTAGTTTCCTAACCATCGTTCCTGGAGAGTACTACCTTCCTCAGTGCTAAACTACCAAAGCATCTCCTGGGGATCGAACCCACGCCAGAGAGGTAACTGGATTGTCATCGGCTCTAACCCCCAGACCACGGAGGCGGTAATTTTGTCTAATTAATATCAATAAATAATACTCTTACCCATTTATTTAACATCTAAATACTTCGATGATAATGTATTAATTAATAAAAATAAAATTGTGGAGGAACTGTCTGCTTATTTGCAAATATGCATACGGTTCTCGTCCAAAAAAAGGGAGAGAAGCGTCTGGGTAGGAATTGATAAGGGAGAGAATAGTCAAGGTTTCAAGGTTTCAAGGTTTATTTGAATACGTCAGGGCCCATATGGGCATGACATTGTGACAACATAAAACAGTACATACATACAAAATAATACAAAATGGCAAATAATATGTAAAAACAAAATACTACAAAATGGCAAATTATAAATGGTCATACAACTCCATGATGTAATAAAATTACTGTAATAATTGACTGATAATGGAGGATGAGAGAGAAAAATCAAAAATCATTGCGAGAAAAAAACAAAGAGAAAATACATAATCTAATAAGCTAACATTATTTAAATAATAACATAATATTTTTGCAAAATATGGCAAGTCAGACTACTATTTAGTTCAAGGTTTCAAGGTTTATTTAGTCATACGTACCTGGTGAATTATGGGTAACTTCTGTGTCGGTGGGAAAAACCCACTTTCATTTCCGCATCAAAAGCGTAAAGTTGGTAATTTTGTAAATTATTGTCATTTTATTTATAATGTAGTGGTCGGGACCATCATGATCAACTGGACACTTTAAAACAATTAAAATTTTATCCTAACAACACCTTCGTTGTGAGAGATTAAGATTATTGGACAGTGAACAGGTAAATACATGTACGATGACCGTGTATGTAAAGGTCTACTGTACTGGTTGGATTGATAACTCCGACACTAAATCACATATTTTTTGCAATATTTTAATTATCTTCCAGTATATTTTAAATATTGAACCACCTAAACAAAGTTCAGTTCAAAGACTTTACATTACACTACAAAAATTATGTATGGAAATGGAATCTGGTACTTCATTAAGGTCTTGAATGAGGTATACAAAACATAGTCTTTTTAACCCACAACAGTAGATAAAGTCGACACTTAAATTTTTAAGTAAAAAAAGACTGGAAAATCAGCATCAATAATTTATCTTTACATCTTATATGGTTTATCTATTTTTTGTAAATATTTAAACAATTTTTTAACAATCTTTCCCAAGTCAGTGGCCTGTGGTCAATACATTTCTAACTACAGTGTACCTTATTGTTAGCTTAAGGTCTTCAGCGTACCCGTTTATATATATGACATGACGTGTTCTAGCATGACTATTTGAGGGAAAGGGAGAGCTATTGTACTCTCCCAGTCGGGGTCAGTGTCGAGTTGGACGGTATCTCTACAACTATTGAAAGGGATGGAATGAAAATTCACAAACATACTTGAGAACATAATAGGAGGTCACTGTCCCAGGCTTAATATAACTCAGCATATATTTTGATAGAATTATGGCCCTTTCTTAGTTATCAGCCCTTGTTTGACTACAAAACACTGAGAAAAGTGAAGCACGCTGTCCTGCTGACAACTCTTGTGAATTATTAAAATTGTATTTAAAACTATATGTGTAACTCAGTTCCCGTAAGTTCGCATATTTTATTTTTTTCATTTTTTTGTCAGAATAAAGGAAGACACTGACAAAAGTAAAAAATGGTCAAAGTGCAAGTGACATGTGCATGTAAGGATCAGTTATAATAGATCATACATCTATAATTTGATTCATTGTTTTTTCAAATTCATTTGCAGATATTTGGCAGATTAAGTTATATCTTATCTATACACTATGGCAATGCAAACACGGATATCTAAATCTTCTGAAACTTCTACAAAAGGGCAAGTTTTCGATTCTGAATCGGTATGTTTGTGTTTCTATTCTTTCTTATTAATAAATAAAATTTGAGAAAAAAAAATAGTGTGTGTAAATTATCCCCCTTCACTCTTAGATATTCACTTTCTTTAAATATAATTCATACAAGTCTCACAACAGTTAGCTTTTTCAAGCTGTTTAATAATACAAATTCTTTTATCTGAATAGATAAACATAATAAAATTTGTTATAAACATTTTATTTAATTGTAGCAACGTGTCTGGAAGTCAAGCAGCAAACAAATACCGAGAAACTATGGCCAGGTATAAAAAACATTGTTATATCAAGCTTAGAATTGATATTAACATATTGATTATGACCCCTAATTAATTGGTGAGTATCAACTTTTAGGGTTACCAAAATGTTGTCACCATTTTCCAACATTTTTTTTTTGTTAATTAATTGCAGACATGTTTTCACCTTGACATCATTGTTTGTGAAATACCAAAATGGCCACCCACATGCATCTTTGGTATGATTTGTAAGCCTACATTATCAAAGAAGCAATGTAGAAAATTGTTTATTATGCCCTCCTTCGAAGAAGTGGGCTAATGTTGGTCGGTCTGTCCGTCGGTAGACCACATGGTTCCCACTGATTATCTTGAAAACCATCAGAAAGTCTTGATATTTTACATAGTACGTGATTATTATGCCCCACCTCCCCCCTTCTAAGAAGAGGGGGTATATTGTTTTGCTAATGTCAGTCTGTCTGTCCGTCGGTAGTCCACATGATTTCCGCTGATTATCTTGAAAACTGTTTATCACAAAGTCTTCATATTTCACATAGTGATATAGTGATTGGTCATAAGTAGTAGATTACCTATTATTTACCTTTTTTTTTTTTTTTTTTTTTTTTTGGAACCACGTTTAAGGCCCTTTTATTTACTTTTCCTTTTTACATAATACATTCATTTTACATTTTTCAATTAATTATTTTACATAACATACGTTACAAACTAATATATATGTTGTTGTAGACATTTTAAAATAATTTCAAAGAGCTTAAACGTGAATCTCTTTAAGAAAAAGTTAAGAGAAAGGATATTATATTTTAAACAAGATAGAGTTTTGTTAAATCAATTTTTTAAAAAAAAACCTTGAGTCAGTTGGAAAAATGCTGACAATTTGGGCAGGTGCTATAATATAAAAGGATAATTTGCAAGAGAATAAAAAAAACTACGATAAGATAAAAAAATGGTAATATTAAGAAAGAAAGGCTGCTTTGGTAATATACTTCTGACATATCATCAATCAGTTCTTATAACATTATTAGAAAGTTATTCCACTTCCTGTTGAAATCATCAAGAGAATCATTTTGAAATGCTATGTATTTTTCTAAAGATATTCTATCAATCAATTTTCTTTTAAACACAAGATTATTTGGTATTTTCTTTTTTGTTTTACAACTATATATATAATATTTGGCAAATAAGAGAATATATGATAAAATTTTATTTCGTGAATGAAAAAAGACAAAAATTTGTCTTGGGTTGCAAGTATACCAATTTCAACCAAACCATTTAAACAATTCATTCCAGAAAATTTGTGTTTGTTGACAGGTCCAAAAATATTTGTTCTATGCTATCTATTTCCATATTACAAAAATCACAAAGACTAGACTCCACTAATTTACATCTAAAGAGAAATTTGTTAGTTGCAATATTTCTATGTAGGAAATCAAAATAAAAATTTTGCAAAATATTATCCTTACAAATATCAAACGCATTCAAATATATTTGTTGCCAATTGAAATTTTTTATCTGGAAATACTGCCTCCCATTTTTACTGGGATTTTAGTTTTTCATTCTGGTATTTTAGCTTTCTTTCTTTTTGAACCTGTGTTAATTTTCTATTTAGGAGATGTGTTTCTGTTTTTTCTAAAAGCTCATAAATATTTATTTCCTCAGTTGTTACAGAAAGAATGACATTATCTAATTTTCTTTTCCAACATGTTGGGATTGAAGAGATAAGTCTATGGTAATTTAAAAACTCAGTATTAGGAATGTTATATTCAGTTTTTAATTGACTAAAAGTTTTAAATTTTTTTGCGTTTATATCATAGATATCTTTTACATGGTATATATTTTTGTTTCTCCACTGTCTGAAATAGAGAAGGCTATTGTTATTTTTATGTTTGAATTTTGCCAAAGAATTTGTTCTGAAATATTTTTCGGATTTTCATTAAAATTGATTTCACTCCAAGCTACTAATACTTCGTGTATAAATTTATTTTTGATTTTAAATTTCAATATATCTTTTGTGTTTATATTGCATTTAAATATAGATATTCCACCTAAATGATTTATATTTTTTCTTTATTATTTCTTTCCACAACCCATCATTTGAATCGTTTATTATTCTTTTTATCCAGTTCGATTTATTGAGTTCAAAAATATAGGAATGTCAATCATATTTAGACCTCCGTTTTTGTACTCCTGTATTATTACATCCCGTTTGACTTTATCCCTTTTTGAGCTCCATATAAATTCATAACATTGTTGTTTAATTGTATTTACAGTTTTATTTGGAGGATTGGGTAGAACAGAAAACAGGAAAGTTAATTTTGGAATTATTAATGATTTCAATACTGAGATATTACCAATTGTTGTGAGATGTCTAGCTTTCCATCTGTTTATGTCTATTTGGAATTGAGATAATCTGTTATCGTAATTTAATTTGAGGATATGGTCAGTTTTTGAATGAAATGTTATTCTAGTGTTTTGACACTTTCTGATGTCCATGAAATATTACTATATTTTTTTCTACAATATATAAGGTCGTGCTGGTTCGCAGTGGGCCTATTCTTAGAGCTGTACATTTACTATAATTAAGATTTAGACCCGAGATGAATGAAAATTGTTCAAATTATATATACATTTCTTTGAAACTGTTATTTGTACCATCTAATAATATTGTTGCATCATCAGCAAACATGCTGTTTTTTACTTCTATATCAAATATATTAAATCCTTTAATATTTGTATTTTCTCGTATTGCTATGGAGAGGAGTTCAATTGCTAAAATAAAAATGTAAGGAGATAAAGGACAGCCTTGTCGGACTCCTTGTCTGATATTAAATAAGTCCGACAAGAAACCATTGTAAAGAATACAACTTGTTGGATTTTTGTATAACAATTTTACCACATTTTTTAAATTTGGTCCAAAGTTAAATAGATCGAGTGTTTTTAAATAAAATTATGATTCAAACTATCAAAAGCTTTTTCAAAATCAGCAAAAAATAATATTCCAGGTTTTTCGTTTTGTTCTGCGTACTCGATACATCATAAATTAATCTTATATTTTCACCAATGTATCTGCCTTTAATAAATCCAGTTTGGCTATTGTCGATCAAGTTATTTAGTACACGTTTAATTCTATTAGCAATTACTTTACTCAGTATTTTATAGTCAACGTTCAATAAACTTATTGCCGCCAGTTTGAAAGAAGTGATAAATCTTTTTTGGTTTTGGGATTAAGGTAATTAAACTCTGTGCCTGCAACTGACTTAAATATTCAGTTCGAATGAATAATTAAGAGAATTTATTAGATCATTTTTAATTTCATTCCAAAACATTTTATAAAATTCAACGTTTTTAAACCATCTGATCCAGGACTTTTCCCCATTTTTCATGGTTTTAATTGCTTCGATACACTCTCCTTCTGTAATAATTCCTTCACATAATACTTGCTCGTTGTCGTTTAGTTTAGGGATTTTATTTTCATCATAAAAGTCATATGTTGAGTCTCTTGTGTATCTTTTCACTGTACAGACTTTCATAGTATTTTTTTTGCTCATTCAGAATTTCATTTTGGTTTGACGTAACATTACCATTGACATTTAGATTATTAATAAGTTTTCTTTCAGCATTTCTAGTCTCTAAATTTTTTAGCAATTTAATGTTTTTTTCACTGTTGTCTAATTTAAAACTTTTTATTCTCGTTATAATTCCATTGATATTTTCATTATGAAATTGTTCTAATTCTGATTTTTTCAATTCTAAATTTCTATTTAAATTTTGCGTCAAAATTGCAGGCTATCTCAGTTTCAATTTTTTCGATTTCTGTCATAAGTTTTTGAATTTGTTCTGTTTCTGTTTTCTTTTTATATTTTGAAAATCTTATAGTTTCATTTCGTATTGTACTTTTAATAACTTCCCATCTGACTAAAGGATTTGTGTCTGTATTAAGAGAACGTATTTCAGTTATGGCATTTTTAATTCTGTCTTTAAATTCCATATTTAAAAGTAAACTATTATTTAGTTAAAAAACACCAGGTCCTCTCACTATAGGATCAAAATTTAAAGTTACATATGCTATTGAGTGATCAGATTTAAAACTAGGCTTTATGCCAGATTTTTCAACAATATTTACCAAATCATTTGAAAGAACAAAATAATCTAATCTACACGCTATATTTAACCGTACTTTTGAGCGCCAAGTAAATCTTTTAGTGAACGGATTTTGTACCCGAAATATATCATTAAGTTGAAAAGTTTCAAGTATACTTTTTATTTTTTTGCGACATTTCAAATGTGTATGAGGGTTACCACCTTGTTTGTCAATATTAGGTTCTAGCACTACATTAAAATCTCCTCCTATAATAAAAAGGTGATCACTTCTGTCTTTAATGAAGGCTTCTAATTTACAGAAAATATCAATATCATCTTTATTTGGGCCGTATACATTTATGATAAATACCTCTTTGTTTTCAATCTTTACATGAAGTGCTAATACACGTCCGATCTCAATTTCAAAGTATTTAGAATGTGAATATTTAAACCATTTCTGAACAGAACTGATACGCCTAACTGATTACTTGAATTCCCACTATTAATTATTGTTCCATCCCATTCTTTTTCCCACTTTTCTTTATCAGCCTGTTTGAAATGCACTTCTTGGAGAAGGCTTATGTCAACCTTTTGTGTTTTCAACCATTGAAAAATAGCAATTCTCTTGTCTTTTCCAGAAATTCCGTTAACATTATAAGTAAAAGATAGTAGTTTTAGACATAAATTGAATCGATGAAGAAAATTTATATACTACCAAAGCAGTTAAAAATTGTTCAAGTATAAAAGTCTTCCTGCAAAGAGGATTAAGTTGTGAATTACATGACCGCTACTAAATATTGTTTAAATTGATGTTTTATCTATTGTAAATGAACTATGACATTTTTTATATTATCTAATGAATTGCTTGTAACATTACAGGTATGTTAAAATAACAATAATAAATTTTTAATCTAAGCTTGATCGCTATTAAGTTA